AAAACATCAGTCAGAGGGAGTGAATCAGAGCCAACAAACAGAATCAATCCAAACTTCCTCATCGGATTCATCCCTCCATTACACCTGCTGGAACTAGTGTTCAGTACAGTTCTTGTGCAGTGTGGCATACCTCATCCTCTTCTACCCATTTCCTTCATAAAGAATGGCTTCTTGACAGCTACCCTTCTACTGAAACCATTTCTGATGAGTCTTCAGTGAACAGCAGATGAATCAGCTGAAGGGGCAGCTGCACCTCTCAGGTGTTTGCTGGATTTTTTCCCCCTACTTCTTAAGGACATGACTTTCAGATTCTGGTCACCTGCTGTAGATAGCTTTGAGGTCTGTCACTTCTTCTGTTATCCACCACGAGACAAGATCTTGCTTGGAGTCCAAGACTGAGTGTGATTGATGGTCATTTGTAGGAGATGAAACTTTTATGTTATGTGTGTTTTTCTGGATTTTTGTTGATATTCTCTCCTTTAAAATTGGAGGCAGCTAATTTCTTTGTGTGTGAGCAAACTTACAAATTAAGCAGAGGATCAAATAATTATTTCACCCAGTGTACACACACACAGACACGCACACTTCTCAGTCCATACAAAGAGCCCTTCTAAGGTCTGAGTGACTGTGAGGGCGAAATCTGTGGAAAATGATGTGTTGTATGATGATGTATTTCTCATAATCTAATTTCTACTTTTCCAGTCATTTAAAAAGATTAATTATCTTTACACAGATTACAAAGAGGGTCTTCAGTCATGACTAAGAAGAATTCCTTCCACTTCCCGCTTTCCACTGTGTTTTGGCAGCAAGCAACGGTTTAGAAATTTCAGAGAAATTCAAGCACGACAGTCAGAATGTGAGTTTGCAGTTTCCCTGTGAGTGTTTGGTTTTAGGGATGGGGGCAAGGTAGACAAAGAACAGGGTCTGAATGAACCGGAGCTGAACTTCAGCTCCAGCATGAGCCGCACTGAGTCATTGGTTTACTCAAAGTCTTTTCATGTTTAATTCACTGTAATGTTTCGTCTGCTGGGAAATGTCACCTTCTGACTACAGCAATATAAAAACACAAGTGTCCTGCACAGTTCCCACCAGTCACACACGGCATGAGGCTCCTCTGATTTCTGCATGTAAGAACCTTAAAGGAACTTATTGTAGTTGTGGTTGAGTTAAAGTGAGTTTATTGACTCCAGAGGAGCCAAATTCATGCTCATTTTATGCTTCATCTTTGGCCAAAAATTTGCTTCATGCCGTGTCCTGGAAACCCATCAGGAGCAGTTGTTTGATTCTGTTTGTGGGTGGCCAGTGCTTTTTGGTCAGCATGATTTGAAAGAATAATCATAGGTCACATATTAAATGTTCATGTCATACTAAATGTCCAGTTGGAATAACATTGGACTCTTTCTCATCCTATTTGTTGTTAGTGGCAAATATTTGGGGCTTTCCAGTGTGACTGTATTCAAATGGGCAACACGAGGCCAAGCTTTGCTTCACATTTGATGTAACACATCAGACTGTTCATGCTTTCATGCTTATGTAGCTTTGGTTAAAGTGTTTTTTTCCCCTAGTGCTAACCAAATTATTCACCATCACCGTCACATCATAAAAAGGGCTTGTTATATATTTTCCAACAGCAATTTTAGCACAGGGGAACTCCAGGCCTCGAGGGCTGGTGTCCTGCAGGACATGTCTTGAAGTTCTCCAGAGGCCTGGTAATGAACTAATTATTTAATTCACGTGGGTTAACCCAGGGTGATATCTAAAACCTGCAGGACACTGGCCCTTGAGGCCTGGAGTTCCCCACCCCTGTTTTAGCAGATTATGAGTCTACCTTCTGACTGTGGAGCCCATTTGAATTCAGTAAATATTATCACCTTCACAGGACCAAGTTGCCGCCATGTGATTGGCTGATTTGTGTTAAACAACTTAACTGGTATACCTAATGAAGTGGCTGTGAGTGTCCATGAACCATGGTGCTAAGAGAAAAAACAAAAAACAAACAAAAAGCCCCACATGTAACCATAAGAATAAAATAAAGAAAAATATACAAGAAACAAGTGCTTTGAACAATATTCATTTAATCATTCTTTTAACTTTGTATTTTTTACATTCACAATAATTACATCGTTCCCATCGTTTCAACTGGCCAACAAAATTCTGTTAGTCAAATGTGAACACACAACCTCATTTAGACTCCAGTAAACATGTTTTAGTGTAATCTTAAAGCCTAATCTTTAAGTGCTGCAGAACAAAGCAACATTACGTTAACATATGGCCTTAAACCCAGTTAAGGCCATTCGCGATCTATGATTGTGGTGAACTTTTAGACTCTAGTCAAAAGTCAAGTTCACACAGTGTGGGAAAAGTCATCAAGAAGAGAAGGCAGAGTAGAGCAGGGTTGCAAAATGGCTTGCAGCTGTTACTGATTTCCAACAATGTGGTCTCTGGTGGGCTTGATCTAAACTTCTCTGGTTATGTTTTAAACTATGGAATAGTCCAAACATGTTATTTTCTAAAACTTTCTCCTATTTTTACAAGTTCAAGACTAAAAAAAGTAATAAAAACATTTTCACCCTGTGCAGCTTTGTGCATTGCACAATGATGGAAGTCTAAGGCACACAAGTACAAACCAGACTGCTAGCTACAGATAACTACAGATAACAGATAAATATTCTTATCAGACAACGAGCAGTCTTCATTAATGATTTTTTTTTTCAAAGTACAGAAAATAATCTGTGTGATCAAGTTTTTAGGGCCCGAGCACTGAGAGTGCGAAGGCCCTATTGTATCTGTTCCGTTTGTTCTTCTTCTTCTTATTATTATTATTCAGGAAAAACAAGGGCGTTTTTCAGGGCCTAAACATGCTCAAAAACTCATGAAATTTTGCACACATGCCAGGTCTGGTGAAAAATTTTGTATTTTAATGGTTTTACATATGAGCACTGGGAAATGGCTCTAGAGCGCCACCTATGCCTTGTTAAATGCAGCCCTACGACCACATCGTTTGAGCTACATGTATGAAATCTGGCACACATGTGTATCATGCTGAGACAAACAAAAAAGTCTGTGGGCCCATTGACGCAAACCAAACAGGAAGTCCGCAATTTAGAAGTGAAGGTGACATTTTGGCTCTAATTTTGCCATTTCCATGCCTCGAACTTTTTTGAACTCCTCCTTGGGATTTGGTCGTATAAGCTTCATCTTTGGTCAGTGTCAACTACACACCTGGGCCATGTTAAATTGCGGAGCTTTTGCGTTTTCGTGATACAGTGAGGCGATGGCGCCACAGCAAATTTTGATGACTCGCCATGAAAATCTTATAGCCTCTCATTTTGTCATACATTTTCTGATCTGGACCAAAGAGCACACATATGATAAGGCTCCAGCCCTGAACATATTTCAACTGCCATATTTGACATCAAGGACAGCGCCACCTAGTGGGAACAGGAAATGTCATGTTTTACACTTTGGGGTACAGTATTGTGATGGGTGACATCTGCAGCCTCAAATTTCTCCAGGAAAGCCTTAAGGAGTTGGTCTTGGGTTACAGTGAAAACTGTGACTTTTCGCGAAAGGGTGTGACCCCAGCAGCATGGCGAACTTTGATGTCATGAAGAAACAAATTAGTATTTGGGGTACAGTATTGTGATGGGTGACATCTGCTGCCTCAAATTTCTCCAGGAAAGGCGTAAGGAGTTGGTCTTGGGGTACAGTGAAAACTGTGACTTTTCACGTATGGGTGTGACCTCAGCAGCATGGCGAACTTTGATGTCTCGCCATGAAGAAACAAATTAGTATAACTCAATGAAATCCAGTCTGATCAGTACCAGACTTTACAGGCATGATGTCAGACCCGCCCTGAACAGATTGATGTGCCCATTGTCGGAATACGGACAGCGCCACCTAGTGGGAACAGGAAATGTCATGGCTTTAATTTTGTTGTACTGATTTTCACAGGTTCATCGTGGCCACCTCAAAAGCGGTGAATATCACCATCAGTCCCTCGTGATGCTTCAGTGCAAAAATTGTGACTTTAAACTGAACGGCGCACCCTGGTGGCAACGCGGTTCACCATGAAAGATGAAGTGGCTTTTGAGGGGCTTGGAAAGTTTATAGAGGCTTGAAATTTGGCACACACCTCCAAATGGATGAAGGCTTTGTTGTTATGTGATCATTTTCATTGAATAGCGCAAAATGGCTCCACAGCGCCCCCTACAAAATTTCAAAACCACAGCCCCTGCTCTGTGTTTTATGTATGAGTCTGAAACCTGGTAGGCTTATAGGAGATATCAAGATGTACAAAAAAGTCTCTTGGAGCAATATCCCAAATCCAACAGGAAGTCAGCCATTTTAAAATTAATGTGTAATTTTGGCACATTTTCCCCTCTTTCAGGCACCGTACTTTGACGAACTCCTCCAAGGGATTTCATCATATTGAACCAATCTCCAGTGTGTGGAATCTAAAGACCTTTGTGATGTTAAATTGCGAAGCTTTTTACGTTCAGGGAAACGGGGTGGTCATGGCGGCACGTGGAGTTTCAATCACTCGCCAAAAAGCAGTAATCTGCTGTCACTCAAAACAACAATGTCCAATCTCTCCCAAAGGTCGCAGGCGTGATGAGACTCGAGCTCGGAAATGTTTGGTATGCCACTTGTCAGTATTGGTTAGAGCGCCACCTAGTAGGATGACTATAATAATCATGATTGACCGAGATGAAATGTTAGCTGGTGGTTAAATGCATGAATTCTATCAATGTGACATCAGATCGGACGTGCTGGTGTTAGGTGTTGGTCGTGGCTCGACATGCCGGGGTGCGAGGGCCCTCATAACGCTGCTTGCAGCTTTAATTTTTTTTATTTATTTTTTTTTTTTTTAAAGATTCAAAGAGTTTTGACTTGTTGGTTTTCGGTCTGATCAGGTGATCATGTGATGGTGAAGTATCCAGTCAAAACCACCAAACAGTTAAATTTTCATGCTGTAAACATGTGCTTCACTCAGTCTGTGATTTTTTATTTTATTTTATTTATTTTTTAGTAACATCATAAAATCATTAGAAATGTGGAGGACAGCAGTTCTCACTGATTCAGTCTCATTTAAAGTGCATGATAAATCAAACAAATCGGCTGTCTCACTGCAGCATTTGTTTCATCTCCGGAAACGTTCGATTGGAGCCTCACAGTTTGGCTCTCGGCGCTTGCTCCAGCAGTGTCCTCATGTCCAGCAGCGCGTCCACCACTGCCTGAGCCAGCTGTGCTGCGGCTGTTTCTTTGCAGCTATTGAAAGCAGACACTGCAAAGTTGATGTGGTCGTTCATGGGGTTGTAGCACACACCGTACCCGTTGGGGACAACAGGGCCAAAGCACATGACGCAGTCGGTCTGGGATGGGACCTTTTTGAAGATATAAGAAGTAGAGGTTAGCTTGCAGGACGTTTAGATGTTTCAACTCATCTGGAGTTTGTGTTGCTCAAGTTACATAAAAAGAATTACATATACATGAAAACGCCAAGGTCGCAGGGTCACATTTTCTACTTGCATGTGTTGCTTCAGAATATTGTTGTATACCTGACTGGTAGACAGTCGATAGTGTAAGGCTTTAGTGTAGGCGGCGTCTTTCAAGACATCAGGGACGGAGAGGTTCTCTTCGATGGCCTGCATCTTCAGACCCAGCAGGTGTCTGTCGATGGCCTGACCACTGATTGCCTATGAAGGAGAGAGAGCAAAAGCAATGATTTTTTTTTTCCAGTGGATTCATTAAATATTCAGGCCCCTTCACTTTCTGCACCCATACTGTAGATGTGAGGCTAGACTCATCTCTACTGTCACTGCAGAGATGTGCTCATTGCTGGACCTTTTACAGTCCCAGTGCTGTGAGCACTCACCATGTTAGTGTATGACTTGTGAGCCTTTACAGCCTTCTCCATGAGATCCACTTTCTCAGAGTTCTGTGTAAACAGGAAGAAGATGGGAAAATCAAACTTGCATTAAACTTGACTCACATTCATTTAACGAGTCTAGTTTAATAAAACCTGAATTTAAACAAGCCATTAAATCAAATAAAAACATTCATTCCTGGCCGCTGTATGATCAGTTTGGTGGCCGACCTGTTTGCTGGGATCGTCAAAGGCTCTGACGAAGGCGGCTGAGGCACGTGAAGCTGATCGTATCGTATCAGTACGACCGAGTCTGAACATCCGCAGGGAGGCGCTTTCATATGTGGCACAGCACTGCTGGTACATCCTGCAAGGAGAGAGGAGAGGATATTTTACCTCCAGGAACAAAAATGAGGAATTAAACTGCTCTGATGTTCAGTCACAGCTCTACTTCAGAAGACGTCATAGTTAATTTAATTAAGATTTACAGAAGAATTTATATTTATATTAAATTCATATAAGAACGAAACTAAATAAAGATGACACTTGTAATCCTACCGGTTACAGCAGTTTACAGAAGCATCCCAAAATCATCTCTCTGCTGAGAGATGCTTAAGAGGATCTTGCAGGACCTTTTTAAAAAAATAATAATTTTTTTACATAACGTGGGTTTAGCTGCACTGAGATGATAAAGAGGGCTAGAAGACACACAGAGGAATAACAGGGAAAATCTTGTAAATTTTTAAATTAAAAGCCCCTACACAGACAGAGCAATGGCTCATATGATGTCCAACCTAGGGCTGGGTATCGTCACTGATTTCTAGAATCGATTCGATTCCGATTCACAAGGTCCCGAATCCACAATTCGATTCAATTCAATTTGATTTAAATCTGGGAAATTTTGACAGTCAGAAATATTATAATTCAGATCAGTAAATTTACATATTTTTGTATCTATAAAAAGGAAGCTGACACACGCAAGACTTTATCAAAGGTGTGAGCATCACAGCAGATGCCTTTGTGTCAAAGTAGCTGAAGATAAAACACAGAAAAACATGAAGGTGGTTTTCCTGACCTGGGATTTTATAAAGATATTCTGCAGCACATCAAAAACGAAAGAAAACCATTAATCAACATATGAACGTTACCTCTGACGTTGCAGCGGTTTTATTAGAGACGCGGCTGCATAATTTTAAAAAGTTTACATTTGTAGCGTAGTTTGGATCTTCTTTTGCTGCTGGTTTGGTCAATATTGTTTGGAGAGAAATAAAACTAACAGCTTTATGATCAGCGCAAAAAGGGCGTGGACACAAAGCGCCGACAGATCAGAATCAGCAAGCTGTCGGCTTTCAGCCCCGACCGTCAGCTGAGAAAGGCGACATCTCACTGATTCTGATCCGTCGGCGGGTCCGCACTGTGTGTTTACGTCTTTGTGCAGAATCCGTGTACCCGCTCTCATTTACTGTCTTAGCTGTTTGGTGGTTGTTGAAATTTTGTGATCTTTCACCTAAGATTCTGGCATTTCGGGAAAAATAAATTTATATTAAAAAAATCGATTCAGGATTTTAATGAATCGATTTCACGTTATCCAAGTCAGAATCGATTTTAATCGATAAATCGATTATAAAAACCCACCCCTAGTCCAACCTCTGTGCTACAGTTAGAAAGCCAGGCACTAACACCAACCAGCGCCTCACCTGTAGTAGGCCAGCTGCAGCGCCATCTGGATGAAGGCATCGGGACTCATCTTGTGGGCTTTTGGGAAGTTTTTTCCAAAGTGTCCGAAAACCATCACCCTCATGTCCAGGTCTTGGGCTAGTCTGTAAGGGAAAGATGTCACATTTACACTGACTGTTAACACGTATGTAGTCAGCAAGTTTGGACAACATTGTTGTACCAGAGTATTTAGACTATGATTTTCAGTATCATCATATTAAGATGATCTTCTTTCCTTTACATAAGGAGATGATATATTTCCATTTGCCTTGTTGTGTGCGGCACAAAAGCCCCACCAGAGGGCAGTATGTACTTGTAAACAATCTGCTGAGCTCAGCGAGATGTGAAACTGGCCTCAAAGCGTATTAAAGCAGCAGTATATTTAGCTTTGTCCTACCGATACAGATAAGCCAGGTCACACAGATTAAGCTTGAAGAAAACTTTGGATAAAGAGGGTAAAGCTTCTAACTGGATTCATTTTTAGTCCCCCAGAAAAAAACACAAGTTAAGAAAATCAAGAAAAAAAAAAAAAAAAAAAAAAAAAAATCACAACTCATATGTTAGCTTTTTCATGTTCACATGTCAGTACTGAACAAGGTTATCTCTTTATGTTTGTTTTACACACAACTGCTCAAATCTATATCAAATTATACCTGGGTTAACACTAGGGCTGCCACGATTTGTCGACTAGTCACGATTACGTCGACTATCAAAATCGTCGACGACTGATTTAATAGTCGACGTGTCGTTTGAAGCTTTGTAAGATCGCAAAAGACGCAGGAATAATAGCAGGATTTAAGAGTGTAATAACGGACTGAAACAGAAGATGGCAGCACTGCATGTACAAGGATGCCAGCTGCCGTTAAACCCCGAAGAAGAAGAAGCAGCTGTGTCCCAGAATTCATAGCGCGGCCCAGCTCAGTTTCCAACAATGGCGGCAGCTAGTTAGTTTTAATATTACTCTTATTATTCTTTCTGGGTCACAAAATAAACGTTTAACATATTTTCAGGCGAGAATGTAGCTGTGTAAACCTCAAATATCGGCTCAGTTTATCAGGACACCACATATTTTCAAAAGCGCTCCGACGTTTTCGGAGACGTCTGTTACCCACTAGCTCGATAGCTAGCCGGGGGCTAGGTCACTAGCGCCGTGAGAACACCGGACTCCCGGCAAATTGTTTTCAAACCCACCGCCGTCTTTCACGACTCAGGTTAAATATATATGAGTCACTTAGATAAATTAAAAATGTTGTTGTTTGGGTTTTTTTTGGTTTTTTTAGTATTTTATTTGTTCCTGAGTAAATCGGTTTGGCTGAGATTAAAGTTATAGTTTTTACACAGCTGAATAAACGTCAAGCAGACAGCTGATTATCAGAAGTGTGAGATGCTGGAGAATATACTCCGGTGTCCTGTTATATTTTAGATAGAAGGAGTTTATTAAACTTTACCGAAACAATCTGCAAATTTCATTAAAATTGAATAAACTATCATCTTGTCTTTATTTTTAGTTAGCACCTTAAAAGCTTAAAGCTGTAAGCTAATGATAGTTATATAAGAGCAGATGCTGCTGGTGCAATAAGCTGTAGTTTTACGTCCAGTGGATGATGATCTGATTAGTCGACTAATCGCATAAATAATCGGTGACTAGTCGACTATCAAAATAATCGTTTGTGGCAGCCCTAGTTAACACAAATATTGTACTGAAAAAATAAAATATTGCCCAAACATGATACTCATCCCAAAAGCTGCCCTCACGTGTTCATGCTGTTCTTGGCCTCCTCAATGTCTTTCTTGATATCTGGCGTGATGTGGAAGTCTAATTTCCGCGGCATGGGTAAAGGCACCATGGGAGACCGCACCATCTCAGGCTTCCTCCTGTAAACACAAAGAGAAAACAAAACATACACAGACTCTGTGTTTACACCAGAAAAAGAAATCTGAATGAGTGGATGAGATGGAATTTGAGCTGCAGAGAGCAACTGAAACAAATGTAGTGCTTTCAAACATGTCCAATCACGCTGTGGTGAACATTCCCATACCAGAGGCTCTAAAAGGTTCCTCTATGAAAATAAACTGAAAATAATCTGTGACCTACTTACGTGTACTCTACAACGTGGTCGATCAGGGCTACGATGGGGGGACCTTCAGCCGGAGCGTGCTCGTAGTTTGCTCCACACACCCCATCCTCTCCAACAATGAACTGGAAGAGAGGAGAAAAAACATTTAAGGAAAACACTGCACGTTTTCTCTATTGCTGAGGGATTTAACGGCCTTATTATATTATTATTACAGTAACCACAGTTCCAGTTTATCAAACATCAAAGCCCACTGAAGAGAGACCAAACCACCAGGGTGAGGAAACCAGGCCTTGCTGCAGGAGACAGGTTCAGAAACATCAAATGTCTTGATGCATGAAAACATGCATCCACTCACGTTTTTCAGCTAAAACTGTCCTGCAGTCTAAGATACAGCCACCTTCCTTCAGTTAAACTTGTTTGTTAAGAGTTTGAGGGATTTAAAGGCTCTTCTGTAATACTGATGTTTCTCTTACAACACTTCAAGCTGAATTTAGGCTGAGTGAGACAGAAACATCTGCACGTACAGACACCTTGGCGTGCAGGCTGTCTAATGAGGTTGTTGCTGTCTTTTGTGATCACTGTTGTATGCACGTGCAGGTCACCTGCAGTGTCTTGTCGAACCAGCGGTTGCCACTGTTCCACTGGCTGCCTCCTCCGTGCAGCATCTGGATGGCGGCACAGCTGCGGTAAAGCTCATTAGACACCCGAGGCATCGCTCCATCCAGACACAGTGTGAAGATGCTCCTCTGGATAGCCAGCACCGACTCTTTGTTGGTTTTATCTGCACACACAAAACAAAAAGTGACTAAACTGCTCCACAGACTCGCAGCTCTCATAACAGAGTCAGTATCTTGTTGGCTCACCTTTGATGAGGTTGAGGTAGGCTTTGCCCCACGAGTCTCGGTGCTGTGTGGTGAGGATGCCGACAGGCTCCGAGTTGGAGTTTGCTGAGGCACTGCAGATCCTCTCCAGCTGGACGCAGAGCTGATCTGCAGTCAGCGGAGTTCCGTCGCTGTTGTGCACGTCCAGCACAAAGAACTGGATCCAAGTGGAAGAAAGAGGTTAAGTCAGAAATCAGTCTGCCAGATGCAGATGCAACAAAAGCTGGTGTCCAGACCTGTGTCTAACACATTCTTTGAATAGTTCCTGATTTAAATTGGGAAGCAAAAGTGCTAGAGTGGTAACTTTGGGGGATTTGTTAATCTTTCTACTAGGGTGACATACAAACATTCATCCATCACAAGTGATTAATATACTAATTTGTTTCTTAAAAACAAGCCCAGTCAAAGTTTTTTTTTTTATGAATCAAAAATGCAAAAGATGAAGGGAATGATCCTGAAACTAGAGGAGCGCTCAGTTCCTCCTTTTATATGAATCACAAAAGGTTTATGTCTGTGGGTATAGATCTGCAAACCTATATAAATATTACTACTTTGGAAGAATGTATTAGGGGTAATGCTAACTGCAGGCTAATAGCCTGGAACAAACCCTGGAATACTGTATGGCATTAGCTGAATATCGCCCCCTAATGGTGGATGCAGTGAAGCAAAAAAAAAAAAAAAGGTCCCAGTGTTTAAAACTTTCAGCCTTAAAATTAATTACTAACAACAGCAAGCAGCTAGACTCTTAATAAATAGGATAGCTGACTGACTGACTGTGCTTTTCTATTGTTTCTAAAATGTGTAAAGCAGTGCCAGGACTGCTAAAGGCCATGCCCGCTCAGATGTGCCAACTACAAAGCAAGTTTAACATATTCAGGATCGCTTTACTCATCTAGTTTCATTTATTATCGCCAGTCAGAAAAAAAACAAAACAAAAAACAAAAAACACCCAGCACGCCCCTGTGGGTGGTTTTTATCCTTCAAGCTCGGGTCCTCTACCAGAGGCCTGGGAGCTTGAGGGTCCTGCGCAGTATCTTAGCTGTTCCCAGGACTGCGCTCTTCTGGACAGAGATCTCCGATGTTATTCCCGGGATCTGCTGGAGCCACTCGCCTAGCTTGGGAGTCACCGCACCTAGTGCTCCGATTACCACGGGGACCACCGTTACCTTCACCCTCCACATCCTCTCGAGCTCTTCTCTGAGCCCTTGGTATTTCTCCAGCTTCTCGTGTTCCTTCTTCCTGATATTGCTGTCATTCGGAACCGCTACATCGATCACTACCTCTTCTTTGCACCACCTGCCTGTTGCCCACCTTTCGTCGTTCTGGAAGTCTTTGTGTCTACCACCACTATGTCCGGTTGGTTAGCCACCACCATTTTGTCCGTCTGTATCTGGAAGTCCCACAGGATCTTAGCTCGGTCATTCTCCACCACCCTTGGGGGCATCTCCCATTTTGACCTCGGGACTTCCAGGTTATACTCGGCACAGATGTTCCTGTACACTATGCCGGCCACTTGGTTGTGGCGTTCCATGTATGCCTTGCCTGCTAGCATCTTGCACCCTGCTGTTATGTGCTGGATTGTCTCTGGGGCATCTTTACACAGCCTGCACCTGGGCTTGCCTGGGTGATAGACCCCAGCCTCTATGGATCTTGTACTCAGAGCTTGTTCTTGTGCTGCCATGATTAGTGCCTCTGTGCTGTCTTTATCCATTGTCCAGCCACTGGTAGGATTTCTGGATATCAGCCACCTCCTCTATCTGCCGGTGGTACATACCGTGCAGGAGGCATGTCTTCCATGTATGTATGTATGTATGTATGTATGTATGTATGTATGTATGTATATATATATATATATATATGAAAGAAAGAAAGAAAAGAATTCAAACTAATAACTACAGCGGTCCCTTGCTATAACGCCGTTCACCTTTCGTGGCCTCACTGTTTCGATGATTTTTTGTGTGCAATTTTGACTCTGAAGTGTTGCACTGTATGTTTGTAAGTTTTCTCCCCAACAAACGCAACAATGCCGACGAAATGTTTTGCACCGTCAAAGGCACCTTTGGTAGCACACAAAAGGCAGAGGAAGATGCTAACCATCGCACAAAAAGTTGGACTTCTGAACATCTGTTATTTCAAACATAGTCTGCCGGCCTGTTTCCTTGTCCAGAACACCACACAGGTTTCACGTGGCTGCTCCGTTCAGACCCATGAAAGTGCCGAGTGTACTCTGGAAAACTCGAGTTTACCGTGTTTGCTGATCTCTAACGTCAGGCTGCAGAAGGCGAGCTGCTCACCTGGAAGTTGTGCACTACGGTGATGTGTTTGGGGGGTCGTGAGCTCTTGGCGTGGTTCACCACCGAGTCTCTCTTCAGACCAGGGATCCGGCATGATGACAGCACCTCGTAGTACTGATTCATGCAGAGAGGCTTCCCTCCCAGGTACTCGACCGGAAGAGTTTCACTGAAAGAAAAACATTCTATCATTTACTGCATGCTTCGGTTTGACTGATTAAAACGTATTCAGGATCATGTTATCTCATTAAAATGTAAAATTTCATCCCTGCTGAACATAACTGAATAAAAACCACATTTTAAAATACGTACTCACTTATCAATCATTGTCTTAAAGTCCAAAACGCCTGCTATCAGTTTAGCTGCAAACCTGAAGACAGATAGACAGAGATCAATATAATCTATTGAGTTTCAGTGACAAGAGCCCAGAGATTCACAGGGTATGCCAAAGAAAATGCTGAAAAAACATGAAACTTTGACAAGGGGAAAAAAAAAGGAAAGGAGTAAAGGAAAGGAAAGATGAAATAAAAAAAAGGAAAAAATAGGGGAAAGGGAGGGAGAGGAAGTGAGAGTGAGAACAAAAAGGAAACGAAGGATAAAAAAGTAGACGAAAAAGTAGACGAAAAAGTAGACGAAAAAGTAGACGAAAGAGTAGAAGAAGAAGAGGAAGATGATGCAAGCTTATGAGTGGAAGGAAGGAAGGACGGAAGGGAGGGAGGAAGATTCAAAGATCCACATCTTTTATTTACTTCAATGACTGAACTGAATGTGTTTATGATGGACACATGGATTCAGACCTAACCCTAAACACCACATGTTCAGTGGCGTTCACATTTTAGTCTAAAAACATGACATTTAGTCAAAATCTATTTGTTGCATCTTTTTCTTTTTTCAAAAAGCCCAAAAAAAAAAAAAAGAAAAAAAGAAAAAATGGACAAATTTAATTTGGTCCAACCAGATCCTGTAAAAACAAACAATTCAGTCATCATCAGGGAAATCAAGGTGCATGACTTTATACTGCAGGGAAAGAGGCACCGAAAACCTATTTGGGATTCAGAGCATTAAAGAGACTCTGACATTTGGAAGAAGCTGCATGTGATCACCTTATTTGTCCTTTCTTATCACTGAAGTTCATGCGAGGCAAAACCAACCCAGGACTTGAATGGACGACCACAGGCAAACGATAGTCGAGGTAAGCCACCTGAACCCACCACTGTGACAGCTGAAGAGAGACAAACACACAGATAGGCACTGAGTGGATCACACACCAAGAAGAAGGACACAAAATAACTTTGTTATCAGATTTTCCTGTAAAGAAGAAATATTAGATCTTACAGAAAGACCCCTTAGCCTCTCCCTCACCAACAACAAAAACTAAGATGAGGCAGGACTTCTGACATCAACACTGCATAAAAAAGGTTGAGAAGAAACTGCTCTAGACAGTCAGTTTTTTTCTACTCTTAGGTCTGTGTGATGTCATACAGGAATATCATTAATATGGTCAAATCAGGCACAGAAGTCACACCCTCCTGTTCTTTGAGAGGGGTCAGCCAATCAGAAGAAAGTTGGCTGTGAGGAGTGTGAGGAAGTGAAATCTGACTTATTTCACACAGAGGAAGAATTAAAAGCCCAAAGTAAGAAAAAAGGGTATTATTTTGAACTGAAATTCAAACAAAGCTACTCTAGCAGAGTCCACAAATGAGAGTATGGAGGTGGAAATAAGCACCATAAGTCTAGTTTAATATATTTAAAGGACCAGAGTGCCAAAAACAAGGTCCCCTTTTTGAGCTCACCCAGTTCTCAGTTTTGGATGCCCTCTTCTCCAGACCCCTTTGCAGCCTCTCTCCAAGCCCTCCAGCTCGCTGAAACTCCTCCAGCAGCCCTTTGGTGTGCTTCAGCTCGTCTGCCTCCACAATGGGCTCTAGGGCGGCAAGGTATCGCTCACAGGTCTGCTGCAAAGTGGGGACAGGCAGGCATGGCAGCCCCTTCTGGTGGGTGAAGTATCGGCCAGCGACTCGAGTGGCTGATACCGGTTTGACCAAGAAACTGGTCTTCACAAAACCGCAGGGCTTCATCATCCCCACCTTTAACAGAGAAATAAGAGAAATGACATTAAGACAAAAGGTTTGACTGCCACAGCAGATCATCAGCCACTCCCACAGCACATCTCACCACCTCTCGCTGTCCTCATTCATGTCCTGCACCATCCTCCCATACTTCCCTGCCACTCCTGACTTCCTCATGCACTATAACATTTCCTCTCTTGGCACCCTATCATATGCTTTCTCTATAGCCACTTCTCCATAAACACTGTCAAAGCAAACCTCACATCTACAGTGCTCTTTTCTTGGCATGAAGTCACCCTCCTGCTTGCTGATCCTCAACTCTCTCCTTAACCCAGCTTCAACAACCTTTTCCCATAACTTCATGGTATGGCTCACCAGCTTTATACCTCTGTAGTTATTACAGCTTTGCATATTAGTTTCATGGGGAAAACTAACATCACAGGATAATGAGCAGAGGGTCAACAGCAAACCTACAAAACCAGATTATGATTCAACCAAAGAGTATTTAATGTGTTTAAAAGGTGTGCACACATGCTAATCTCATCGGTTTATTGTATTTATGTTGTAGCATCTGCTTTTAATCCAACTTACACAGGCTTGGACTACATTAAAGGTATCTTTAAAGCTGCAGTCACGCTGGTGTTCCACTGTCTTTGAGCTAAATTCACCTTTCACCCACTTCTGTAATTGCCGGTGCGTTAAATATTAGCCACAGCTAACAGCTAACAAACAGAATTTTCCGCCTAGTAGCAGCAGCGAGCTAATTAACTTACTCTAGCTCGGAAAAAAACCGAGTCTCGGGTGAATTAATTAACGTGGATGTCATTAATTCTGTCAGAGTGTGAAAGCTGAACTCGGGGGGTGGGGGGACACAAACAAACCAACAGTCAGTCCGCTAAAGCTGCCGTTACTCACCACAGATCTGCTGCAAATGCCCCACATTCTGCAGTCGGAGGTAGAAACGCCCACAAAAACACAGAGAGCAGTCCAATGAAGCACAGAGTCCGGCCAGCACGATCTTACACTGCTTTATTTTTTTTAACCGTCAGGCGGGCGGTGCTGTAGCCTGACTGCACAGCCTCTCTGCAGCTGCTCAGTGCTTTATCTGCTAAAGTTACTCAGCTGGAAAAGAGCCGGGGTGGCCGGCTGCCCCAGATGCCATAAATAAGTGGCAGAGTGGCAGTTATGCGCACTTATAAGTACAAATTCGATGTAACCTCTTAGTTTATCGTTTTACTCCACTATACGAAAGCATTAAATGTACTTTAAGATAAAAGTTTGATTTTCAACAATTTGAGAAATCTTGGGGTGCCACTCAGTATGCGAACATGTGGGGGCAGTACTGAGCCATGAGTAATGAGTCTGCCGGGAAAACACACCGCGAAGAAGACTGTCAGGCTCGCCATGGCGGAAACAGAGCAGCAGTCAGGTAAAGCTCGGCTTGATGCTCGTGCGCAGCGTCAGCAGTGTGTCGTGTGATGTTTATTTGACGCTTTCAAGGCAGTGACCTTTAGAAACGAGGCTTTAGGGTTTGATTTAAGGGCTGTTAGATGAACCTGGAAGCCAAGAGCTGTCCACACTCACTGACTGCAGGTTCTCCACCTGGGCTGGTTGTATTTGAACTCTGTGGCGCAAATACGGTGATGTTAGCAGACTTTAGCACAGTCTGACAGAGACACAGTCTCCTTACCTGGCTGTGTGTGAGGTGTCAGCTTGCACACAGTGAGTAAAAAGTACTCAGTACTTTCTGGCTGCTAACCGGAGTCAGCACATTGATTAGTGTCGTCTTTAAAGGGGACCTCGATTCCTGTGCTTGAATAAAGTTGTTGAAAACACACTGGAAAGATTATTAAATTACTTTACTAATACTAGGTATTGAATGTCGGTGAACAGGCATATCCTTTCAAGCAGAGAAAAAGGTCTGCAGATGCAGTGTTTGCTTTCAGAGTATTGATGGAGAAGGTCAGAAGGAGCTTCACTGTGTCTTTGGATTTAGAGAAAGCTTATGATAATAGGGCGCTAAGAGAAGAACCGTGGTACTTCTGGGTTGAAGGTGGGTTTACATCAGCGGTCGCCTTTGAGCTTATTTGCAATTCAATTTTATTTATATAGCACCAAATCACAACAAAAGTCGCCTCAAGGCGCTTCATAGATACAGAGAAAAAACCAACAATCAACCAACCCCCTATGAGCAAGCACTTTGGCGACAGTGGGAAGGAAAAACTCCCTTTTAACAGGAAGAAACTTCCGGCAGAACCAGGCTTAGGGAGGGGCGGCCATCTGCTGCGACCGGTTGGGGTGAGAGAAGGAAGACAGGATAAAAGACATGCTGTGGAAGAGAGACAGAGATTAATAACAGATATGATTCAATGCAGAGAGGTCGATTAACACATAGTGAGTGAGAAAGGTGACTGGAAAGGAAAAACTCAATGCATCATGGGAATCCCTGGGAGTCTACGTCTATTGCAGCATAACTAAGGGAGGATTCAGGGTCACCTGGTCCAGCCCTAACTATATGCTTTAGCAAAAAGGAAAGCTTTAAGCCTAATCTTGAAAGTAGAGATAGTGTCTGTCTCCCGAATCCAAACTGGAAGCTGGTTCCACAGAAGAGGGGCCTGAAAACTGAAGGCTCTGCCTCCCATTCTACTTTTAAATACTCTAGGGCAGTGGTTCTTAACCTTGTTGGAGGTACTGAACCCCACCAGTTTCATATGCGCATTCACTGAACCCCTCTTTAGTGAAAAATAAAATATGATTTTTTTCAAATTCAAGACATAGATATGTTTTTTATTGGTGCACAAAATGAGCCGTGCATGTCACGGTGGAGGCTCTGCCGAACCCCTGAGACCAACTCACCGAACCCCTAGGGTTCGATCGAACCCAGGTTAAGAACCACTGCTCTAGGAGCAACAAGTAGGCCTGCAGTGCGAGAGCGAAGTGCTCTAATAGGGTGATATGGTACTACAAGGTCATTAAGATAAGATGGGGTCTGATTATTTAAGACTTGATTTTGATGCACAGGTCTCTGTGGACTATAATGTTTACAGGTGCAGGAGAGTCTGGAGAGAAGAGGAAGAATACATGTGTGCGAATAGGAGGGGCAGGTGTAACAGTGATGCTGCAAGGAATAAAAGTAGTGAAGATGGATGAGTTTAAATACCTGGTTGTCAACCATACAAAGCACCAGACAACACTGAAGAGAGGTTGGAGACTGGTGTCGGAGATTTGTGATAGAAGGGTAGCAAAAAGAGTGAAAGTAAATATTAACAAGATAGTAGTAAGACCTGCTGTGATGTATGGTTAGGAGATGGTGACGATGACAAAAAAGAACACGAGGCTGAGGTAGAGGTGGTAGAGATGAAGATGTTCAGATTTTGATTGGGGTTGACCAGAATGAACAGGTTCAGAAAGGAGAACATCAGAGGGACCGATCAGGTTTAACGTGTGGGAGACAAAGGATGTTAAACATGGAAGGAAAAGAAGCAGACCACAGAGAAGATTCGTGGATCAAACGAAGGAGGACGTGCAGAGGGTTGGTGTGACAAACGAGGATTCGATGGAGGCAGATGATCAGCTGTGGCAATCCCTAAAGGGAGCAGCTGAAAGAGCATTAACCATAGACTGTATATAAAAGATTAATGTAACAACTGTGATGTCACCCACTAGTTCAAAAATCTGTTTTTGATGCTTTGAGTTTAACTTTTTGGCTGTCACCAAACATAAGTGAGAAAGCGATTGATTTTTGACTCTAAATGGCGATAACATTTACTAAATAAACTTCATGTTTGTTTTGATAACTGAGTCCATAACATCATCGGGAAAGTGTTTACTCAGATCATAAATCAAGACTGAAGTAGGCTTATTTTCTCATAAACGGCTATACAGTCTAATCTTTGCAACCTGGAGCCACCCCCTGCTGGACATTACAGGGAGTGCAGGTTTACATCTCAGACTGTATAGAAAAGATGGAAACACCCACTGGTTTTTGACTCAGCCTCATTGTTATTTGCCCCCATTTTAGGTTTTTGAGGCCAACGTGACCATATTAGGACAAGAGGGTGAAATTAGATGTTGACTCTAGGGGACTGGCTTGCTTATGGAGCCTCTAGTGGACATTAGAGGAACTGTAGCTTTTGGTGCATCACTTATCAGCTTGAGTGGTTGAAGTTTAGTTAAGAGCAGTGTGCAGCCGGAGCTTTTGGCTCATGGGAATTACTTATTTATGCACTGATGTCATGAAAATTCTCTGTTCTGAATTATTTTTTAGGATCCACTCCTGAAGATGAAGCCCCCGAGGAGGGGGCCAGCTTCACCTTTATGGTGCCCAAGAAAGAAATCAGCATGGTGCCTGACATGGGAAAGTGGAAGCGCTCTCAGGTTGGTTCCTCCCTGTGGGCATGTGCACGCGTCTTCTTCGAGAGTTGTCTGTCATATTGAACGTGATATAACCATCGACTATGAAGGAAAAGTGTGGCTGTGAGTCGTTTCTGGAGGCTTTCGGCTGTCACATGGTGAAATTGGTGACAAAGATGGTGCTGTAGAGGGCACTCCACCAGAAACCGCCTTCTGATTGTTTTGGTTGCTACCAGGTTGCCTCTGTTGCCTGTAATTTGTGAGGAAGATGTCATCTGCAACAAACTTGTTAGCAAGTATTCAGTGATTTTCCAGTTTTGGTCGCCTCCTTGGTTACTTTGCCGGCACTGAGGGCGCAAGCACTCGCCACTCAGACAAAAGCTTCACATGAGTTCTGATATAGGAGGAGAAGATCTCAAAATTGGAAGCAAAGGATTTTTCCCAGAGTGTTTGAAGAGAAGTCCTCCTCATGAAAAATATCGGCAGCTGTGGCAATCTGCTAGCAACCAGATCCATCACCAGGTGGTTTCCCTAATAAAATCTGACAAGGAGCACATGTTTCTTTCCCCAATGACATGGTTGCTGGTGGGGGGCCCTACTGACTGACTTTAGTAATCAATTCCCAAACTTCAGCAAACACTCAATAAACCTGTTAGAGGATACTAATTTTTCCTTGCCACCAGTGGTTGCCAGTAGAGCAGGGCGATATGACCAAAAATATTTATCACAATATACATTTGAAAATTTGTGATAATGATATAACTGACAATATAATCGACACTAGACAAAATACTTTACAACTCCACAACTTTATTAGTGCAAAAACCCCATCAATGTATTTTCACTTAAACGAGCAGCTGTTTTTTTTTTATGTGCATTAAAGTTGTGCAAATTCCTTGCTGACAGTTTAACCAAAAGGTTGCGTATGGGAAAGGAATTACTGCTGTACCATGTGTGAAACAAAAAATAAATAAATAAATAAATAAATAAAAGGCATTTCCAGTGGAAACTGGTCGACATATCCTCAGCATAACCTTGTATACTATCCACAAAACTTAAAAAGAGGTTATACACACACAATACGGTAATATTATGTTGAAGCACTGTACGTATCACTCTGCGAGGCTCCTGCCTACGATAGCCGTAATGCTCCGACAATCCATCAAGCGGTGCATGTTTGTAGCTTAGCAAAGTCGTACTAAAACATTTGACAGATTTTCCAGCGCCGTGTACGACATAAAATCGTTTCGAGGTCAGTAAACACAACAAGAATTCATACATAAGGCACACGGGATTATAAGGGGCACTGTCGATTTTCAGAAAAATGAAAGGATTGATTTTAAGTGTGCCGTATTTTCCAAAAAACACAGTAATAACGACGGCCCGCTAGCATGCTCTACCAAAATAGTGCTTTGTTGTGTATCTGATGGACGAAAGCTAAACCAGTTCCACACCACTGAAGTTGCAGCATTTTTACAAACCAATTCTGGTTCATCCGTTTCATTCAACGATCCGCTTTCGCTCTTCTCATTCTGCATCGCCGCCATGTGCTTATGTAAAAATAGACACTGCGCATGCACGTTTTACCCATATTCTATCGCGATATTTCATTTTCCTATCGTTGCCCAAAATTACACCGGTATTACCGTGAACGGTATGATATAGCCCAGCCCTAGTTGCCAGATGGTTGCAGACTGTTCTCTAGGCTTGTGTGACTGACCTTACGTTGTCACCTTGTTTGTCACATTGCCAAAATGGAGGACAAGTTAACATCA